TACTAAACTAAATACATTGAACCGTACGATTATTCGCTTCGATAGTCGCCTACACGAGAACGTTAAACTTTATAGTGAAGCTTTTCAGTATCGGTAAGAAAGCTTTCTAGTACGTTGAGTTAGACTACTGTGTAAACGGTCGATTTCGATCAAGGATCAATCGCTTTGATTTAAGAATTGTCGACGCGTTGCAATTTAAAAATGTAATAACAAGTATGAAGACAATTGAACTGGCAGCGAAAGAGATACGGACGACTGGCTGATGATAGAAGGAAAAATTTAATTCAACCGTAGAAGAGAATTTTCATTGAGATATCGCGACGGCGACGTCGTGCCGGATGCAGTGAGTGCAGCTTGAGAGAAACGAAGGTAAATCGGTAAATTGAACCGGCATTGGTTGGCGAGTGGGAGTACTGGTTTCCTGGATGGGGTATATATAGAGTATCGACGGAGGGGCATGGTTAAAGGGTGGTGACGGGGTAGTCGGAGGTGAAACATAACGAACCCGCAGGCAGACACTCAGTCGACCGCAACGCCGGATATTACTGTTACCGAAGACTATTCGATTTGCAGGTAAACGAAGATTCATCCAGCAACCTGACCCCTTATGCTTTGCTGGTAACCTCCACGTCGCAAAACCCTTTCTATAACGTTCAATGCCGCTTTCAGTCCTTCACGTCAGTAACTCTCTCTGTCTCTCTATATACATATATACATATCTGTTTCTGATCCTATAGAGATTCAGTGCGTACTGCTTAACATTCATACCTTGTATCTGTTCTTGATGCACCTTCGACTGAATCTACCTCGAAATTCTAGAAAATAAACTGTTGCACCGAATAGTTCATTCTGATGAATAGCATAATGATATTCTGATGTACTTGTCATTTACGTACACAATAACGAGATCATTAATTTGACAGAATCCCATGGTATTTGAAGCAAACGGATTACCAGGCACGTTACAATTAGCATTTCTGTTAGTATAATAATGTAATCATTAATAGGCAGAAAAAAACTGTCATTATAAAATATTTCATAGACTTCGTGATAAGTTTTAAGTGCGATAGTTATTTTTTGCGAATAAGACACAAAATGCCGATTAAAATCCCAACAACGTACAGCCACGGATACAGGTAAATCCTTGAAATATAAATTGTTTTAGCAAGATCCAAAGGATTTCATCAATCATTTCAGTGTAAGCTCGCATTAATAATCGCTTACTATTAAATATGCATCGCTTCTTTGCAAACGCCCGTCGCTCATTTCACCTAAGCGACGCCTTCATGTCCGTCTGTCAGTTACTAATCGCTCTCTTCGCAGACGTCTGTATTAAACTTTAATCACGGTCGAGCAAAGCTCATCGCGGCGTTTTAGTATCTGGTTAGTGTGCAAAAATTACACGCGGATACAAATTGGAAGAAAAACGAAGGAATATCGTATAAGGAAAAAGAAAGAGAGAGACGGGCATAGTAGAATCGAGAGTAAGCAGAGTGAATGATCGAGAACCAGTATTGAGTTCCGTACGCTTCATCTGATCAGCGACTCTGTTCTTCGATGTACGTCGAATCCTATAGAGGACTGAGGTCGTTTGTAGTTCGAATCTACCGCCACGGCAAACAGCCAACCTAAGACCGCCGGTGAACAACGTTCTATCCGATTGCTGGTGGCGGTATACGTGCGCGTTTTACGTTTTACCCAAAGTGGGTCAGGTGGCGTCGATGCCGTCGAAGGTACCCGGTATATCCGGGACGGGAGGGGGTTTAGGAGGTCGCAATGGAAATATGAAAATTCGGAATTCCAGTAAGAATCGGGTAAACGTAATAATGGCGAACAAGTGCAAATATTGGCACGAGGAGATTCGGCTTAAATAGATTTTTTATGGTTGGTATACCTGCAACCTGCTACTATCTCGTTACGAAAGAGTTTTTCTAAAATATGATTTTTTTTTAATGCACTTTCGATAATATACAGATCACTTTGCTGTCTTAGGGGTAAGCTATCAGTGGTACCAACTTTCTAAAAAGAAGTATGTTCTTTGTTTCTTTTTTTTTTTTATACGGATAGATATAAAAAACAGCCCTCCACTGCTTCTGCTTTTCGTTCTCAATCTGCCACCTTGGAGTTTACCAAGGACTCCTTTCATACTCCGGGCAACAATTGCTGAAGAAATAGCATGACAATGGCCACGATCCTTGACAATCCCCTACCGTTATTGTGTCACGGATATTCTAGGGAGCCAACCGATATCATCCAGAGATTCGTGTCACTAAAAATCGAGAAATGACCGTCGTCCGAGGGACTGTAGAAAATTGTGAAAGGCACCATAGGTATACCCCAATGAATTTATCTTTAGAAAAATACAGCGCGTTCACCCGGATTCTAGTCACTTTTATTAGCAACGTAAAACACGTCCTGGGATACTTAGCCATTGAGTCCAACAATTGTTTGGGGTTGTTTTCACCACGCATCGGTAATTCTCAAAGTGGGTGTGCTCTATAAAGAAGATTTACCTCCACCTGAGATGAACTGACAAACATGGACATCTTGTTTAATAGTAGGATCAAAACTACCCTAAAGAATTGTAGAGTATTATGATGACGTGGCTATCCGCGGCCAGGTGCTGGGAGTGGCACATTCTGAAGATCGGTCTGACATCCGGGTGACCGGAAAGTCAGAATGGGTTACAGGAGGACCTAGTAGTGACTCGGGTCGCTAGGAGTGAAGGAGGGGGTACTTTAGGGGTTAGATGCTTAGGGGTAGGTACGGAGGATTTGGAGCTCTGCCACGTTGGGAGTACCCTCCTGCTCGAGAGCTCTACTGCGATCACTGATACCACACTACAGGCTTCGTGGTTGGTACTTGTACCCTTGGAAGAGGCCAAGAAGGCACGAGGCGTGAAAGAGGAAACAGGTGGAATAGAAGATTTTACGTTAATATTGATAGTCTCAACATTTCAATTTTGCCTGCGTCACTTTATCTAAACAAACTTGTTTTGATAAAAAAAAATCGAGACAAATAAGTAAAACCACTCTGAAAACCTCAGTGTTAAATATACTTCAAAAGAACTTGTTTTCAATTGCGTGTATAGTCTTTGTTAGATTATGATGCATTCATCCAGGAATTCAGTCAATGCATTTTACACCTTCGATAAGCACTTTCTGAATAAATCCCACGAGGATGCATGAAAACAAGTTTTTTCTAATAAAGTCATACATATATCCAATCAGAATTAAACTCGCGGTGCATTTTGGGCGTCGCTAAAGCTTGTTTACGTCAAGAACATTGCAGAATGTGGCTTCTAGAACAAACATCAATAATACCGTTTGGAATATATAAATGTATGAAGTCGTCGGTGTTGGTTTATGCATTGGGCTTACAATGCAGCTGAAGCCATAGATATTATACACGATAACCAGATGCATATCCCACGCGAAAGACACGTGATTATTTGAATAAGTCTATTTGGTAAAGGGATAAAAAAAGCACTGGAGAAAGTTCGGCAGTATCATTTGCCACGAAACAAATCATTCCAATCCAGTATTCGTTGTCTACTTTCTATTTATTTCGAAGAATCCTTCCTCTATCAGACATCCATTCCGTTCTGCCTTCTCTCCCTCCGTCTCTTCCTCCCTTTGACGCTTGGGACCATTTGATATTTCGTAATGGCTCTCAGGCCCGTGGTAGGGGAACGTGAGAAAGTTTCGTGACGGTTGACGGATTGGTGGAATCGAACGGGGGAAAATTTACGATCTCGCTTTTTTTTTTTGGACGGGATGGGTAGATATAAAAAAAGGAAGAAACCGAAGAAAAAAGAGTAACGAGCGTCATGACTCCTAAGGTACGTAACTGCTCAGACGATCCTTGCGTTGATTTAACGGCTGAACATCCCTCTGTACCTGGCAACCCTCTGTCTGTTATTCTGTCAGGTCGTCAACGAGTAATTTGACATTGTTTTGCAATCTCCATCGCGGCTCGTGCATCTAATTTATAGATTACGTGACGTTTTTTTTTTATGATGGATTCTAGCGAGTTGTTACCGATCAGGCACATGTAAGCGAACGGTATCACTGCGTGGCTGTTGATGAAAATAGGCCTTGTGTAATTATTTGGCACTCGCGGAATAATCATGGCATTTGCCAGGCGGTTTGCGAAAATCAATGAACTTGTCCGAGTCGAGTTAATACGGTAAATTAGAGCGATTTTGGTAATCGATCATGGGGATTGGTATTAACTTGATTCTTAATTTAGTTTTGAGGGCGTACCGGTCATATTTAATGCACTACATATGATTTCGAAGATTATTTAATGATTTTCGTGGCGTACGTTTCATGGTACGAAGTATAATATTTCTTGTTGGGTCGAAGAGCCGTAGGATTTACATGCCATCACATTTCGTCTACGCGCATACCGCATCCAATGATTTCAAGATTCTGATGTGATTCGAACCGATTAACACTCTTGATACGAGTAATCGTATGACGTATAATTGCTCCAGTTCCACTAGACACACTGTTAACATAGTTTGACTCTCGAGAGTATCACATTTCGCAGACAGTTTCAACGTTACCGTGTTGTCGAATGAAACGTCGGAATGACAGGGAAGAGCCTACAGAGCGTACTCGCCAGAACGATCCGCACCATCTGTTCCCATCGTGCTACGCCATAGCTGTCTTGGGTGTACACGGTCGGTTCGATGCCTAGTAACGTGGAAGGAACATCTCGGGGGCGAGGAGACTGAGGTTGTTCAGAATTTACGAAAATGAAGAATCCGATAAAGGAGTTAATAGAGAATCTTTTGGATTCTTTGGATAAGGTACAAGGACTATTCAAAGGAAGGTTCTTATCCAACAGAGAGTACCAATGACAGATCGAAGTCTGACACGACCACGATGAGCGTGTCTGACCGAGATAAGGATGAATTGCAAGGCAAGGGATGCGACAAGGCAATAGAACGATCTGACACAAGGCGAGTGGTGACCATCGCTGAATTTACTTACGCAGCGTGTGCGAAGGGCGGTTTGTGGGTGGCTGGCAGTAGAGCAACGGTGACTGCGAGGAGCGCAAAGCTCCAGGATGCTGCGTGTGATCTCATCCTCGAGCTGAGCGTGATCCTGGCAATGAGCGAAGATCCCTTGGGTCGAGCCAGGTCCGCGCTCTCGTTCACTTTCACTCACTCCAAATTCTCTTCTTCTTCACTTGTTCGTGTCGCGCTCCTGTCAGGGCGCCCACTCCCCTCGCTAAGGGAAGCTGGGGCCTCGCGGATTGCCAGAGCTACGTGGTACGGCGCGCAGAGGTCGACGTTTTCGCGGCTACTTCTCTTGCGAGAGGTTCTCGAGGTCTCGTGGGACGGACGCGAGGTCGGTACGGGGGGATTTAGGATGGGACTTGGGACAGGGGGCCTCTTGCGGGGCCTTACGGGGTCCTTTCCTATAATGCGGGGGCCTGCAGGGGGCCGCCGCTCTGCCGCTCGCTCCTCTTTACTTTGATCCTTCCACTGGACATCGCTCGGACGGTCGCACCCGCGCTACGCCGCGCTCGGGAGTGGCGGCTCTTACGCGAGTCCCGGCTGCCTCACGGCGCACGCGCCCTTTGGCCTGCCGACCCCCTTGCCGACCCTTCCCCCTCCCGGCGACCCTGCTCCTTCCTCTCTTCTCGCCTCATCCCTTACTTTCTCATCCCTTTCCTTCCTTTCCCTCGTAATCCCTTTGCCTTGCCACCCCGGACCCACCCTCGCTGCGTCTGTCTATGCCTGCCTGCCTACACCTATATTCCTGCCTACTTGCCCGCCGCCTATATCTTCGCCTACCTATCTACCTAGCTACCTATCCTGCTCTCCAACCCCTAACACCCCTCAATATCCCAGCACTCGTTTCTTCGACACACGGGCAGACATCGACTACGCTACTCTGCGTCCAAGGGTAGCACATCCCACACACACACTGCCCTAAGGTCATCCATGGGCGCGAGGAGCTTGCACAATCGAATCGGCCACCATACGTTCGATGGTTCCATTCTTCAGAACGTTTTCGCTACTCTTGCCAATTGCTTCGTATCTGTCTGCGTCCATGGAATTTATCTAAAGAGGTAGGTAGCTTCAAGAAGGTTCTAAATAACAGCGTACTATTATAGATTAGCTTGAGTCTCTAAAAAGAAGTGGATGAGAGGTAGGTGTGCAAGATTCACCTGTATTCTTTATTTTTATCTTTTCCTCAAATAAATTATATACCTCTTTTTCCGTTCTTATTCACTTTGATCTTGCTCGAGTAGTTGTTCCTGAAGGTATGAATACTTTTTCAGTTCAATAATTGTGATATTACTTTTAGTCGGTACTAGCTACTTTAATTCCTTTAATTATTTCATGCAAGATTAGATAGTGCAATTAAGAGCGAGGATTTTTTTTAATAAAAAATATTTCAAGATAATTATATCTAACTAATCGTTCAATGGAGAAACTGTAGTATTAATGTTTCTGCTCCTGAGCATACTAATGTGTTTATATATATCTATACATATCGTATACCATATATCTGCCTGTTGCAGAGACTGCCGTTAGATTCTCCAGTTATACCAATACCACGAGACTATACCTAGGAGCGTGAATTAGCCGACCTACGTCTAATTAACCTGGTACACGCGTCTAAGCAGCCCAAGTCAGTAACCACAAGTTCGTCCCTGTATTTCCCGGATGTTAAATTTGCCGAATGCCACCAACAAAAAACTATTCAGCTGACTCGGATTGGAGATGCCTATTAAATTCTCAAAGCGCCACATTCGAGACTTTTTCGATATTTTCCCATTCCCCTATTATCCCTAGACAAAATAACTTTCTCGATTCACCATAGAAACGAACGGATTCGTTATCAAAGCTATATTTATATTATCCACACTTTTTACGAAATCCAAGTTTCGAGTCGTAGGATATTCATCCCCTTCTCTCCATTCAACGTCCACTGGTATTCGTTTTTGTTTTCTTCCACTTATACGGAAATTCTTGCTAGAAATCCTTTTCGATCCCTTTTCCTTCTTTTTTACCCTTTCATCGTAAACGCGCCTCTCCATGTTACTCTGAATCATTGATACAAGTCGATAGACAAATACTTTTTGAATCTATGTATGTAGCTTCATCCCATTTGCCGATTCACGTTCTTTCGCACCGTAAGCGATTCCACGTACGAGAATCAAAGAAGCAAAGTTCCACTCGTGTTTTCTACGACGCGGTCCTTTCGGCCGCACGTAGAAAAGTAACTGCGCAGAGTTTCCCTTAGTTCTCCACATTGCGATCAGAGCAGTCCCGTGTCGACGTTCACTCGTTATTTCTGTCTCGACGAAATCGTCGCCCACGAATATCATAAAGCGACTATGAAATTACCTGAAATTAGAATTTTAATGTACCAGTTTTAAAACACCCGTAACGTATTATTCATGGCAATTTCTCTTGTATAACACTACTATATGTATCGCTGTACAACATACATATTGTATTTACAATATGCTATAGTTTTCAATACGCAGTCTACACGAATGTAAAACTAGGTTTAACGAGGAGTCAGTGGTTCATTGTAACCAAGAAAATTTTTCATTGGTAACTTCATATATTATTTTTATTGCTGGTTTCCCGAGCTGTTTCGTGCTTCATACGTTACTTTTATTACCAGATATACGAGCTGTTTACAAGCTACTCCCAGTTATCGATAGATTCTATAATTTGAACGCCTCCCATCACATCCGACTGTACAGATAAGTCAAGGATGCCCCTATGCAAGGGCTGCTATCATAATCTTTAAGGATATTTCGTACAGCAAAGGGCGTGGGACGATCGAGCCACGAATTTCTAACAACACGATCGATTAGCCCCTAGATTCGTCCTATCAGCGGAAGAAGAGCCAAGCACGCCACTTCCTCCGGATCGAGCATCTCCCGGTAATCGGAAACCCCCGTATCCACCTATCACCTACCCAGGTCACTATTACCTACCATTCGTTCAACCCTAAAACAATTCTTCCTCCTATTAAACCGTCTATCTGTCTCGTCACTTATAATCCACGTACAAATAATCCCTTATCGTCCATCCCCTAGTAACATAAACAAAAAAAAACCAAAATCTACAAACCTCACCGATCAGATAAAACTTTGAAATCTTCTCTGGATAAGAAGAAGAAAAAAAAGGAAACTGCCAATTCCAATCGCATTGCCAATAATCTATTCGCAGGTAAATCTCGCCAAAGCCTCCCTTGTCCTTTTGGCAACACACAGGCGTTATCGGGGGTGTCCCTATCGCTTACAAGCTATGCTAACCACATTTCTGTTAAAACGCACACGGTAACCTCTAGGTGGAAAGTTGAGCGCTTGCGCAGAGCTCGCAGAAGCCAGGAGGTTCTGTCGCCTGGGATGGCTCGCGGCCCGCGAAGCCCCCTATTGATCTTGGCCAACGTTGCGCGGCAGAACGCGCTCAGCCCTCGCGACGTCGTTTGCTTGCGAATCGAGTCTGAGCTTCCTGCGGAGGTTGCGGATCGCTCCTGCTCCTGTTCTACTCTTGGACTCTGTCTTGCGAGAGAGATCCCCCAGTGAGCCGATCTCTTGGACAGTTCATGGAAACGATTGAGACTCTGCATAGATTTGAGTCTATGAATGGATGAGGTTTTTGTTGCTGGATACAGTAAAGGATGAAAACAAAAATTGGGGAAAAACAAAGGCTATTCTGAAATCAGAAGGTGTGAGAGAGAGGGGGGCGAGAGACGGAGAGGGTGAGAGAGGGGGAAGGGAGGGGAGAGAGAGAAAGAGATATAGAGAGAGAAGATAAAAAAAAGGAAGAAATAGGCAGACATATATATTGGCATAGAGATCATCATTGGCTGATGCGGTGTGGACCACTCTGGGGGCTAATTAGCACTAACGACGTCCGTACTGCCTGAATAGGACCGATTGTTTAAGGCAGAAATCCAAGATTTTGGATCGCTGGGCACTCCTGGCAGTTCTCAGGGAATAATAAAGAGTGTACTGGGAATGCGTGACGTCATCGCGCTTTGGAAGCTACCGTGGGAGCGGCTCGGGGCGCATGCGTTTTTCGATTAACGTGAATACCGCAAATACCCTGGTCTCTGGGTGGTTTGAACTCTAAACCAAAACAATCTGGCTTTCATGTCGCGATGAAACTCCGCTTCCCGATTACATTTGTACTATACATCGTTTATAGTGAAGTTCACTATGGTCTACCTATATTACACTGCTAAAAGTTATGATACCTATCTACAGTGCCATATGGGCATAATTGTGCCTTTAATAATTGTATAGTATTTTTTTTTAATAACTATCATTACTCAAAACTCGACTCGTGTTTAGTCATAATGGTAATCGATTTGATAACAATGAAATGGAATCATAGAAATTAACTTCATCAACAGCAACTGTGGCGGCCGTGGAATGATGTTGATCCTCTCCAACGTGACCTGATTATACTTTGAAATTCATAAGTGAACATGTTCTTTAATTACGCTGTTATTAATACCATCAAACTAACATAGCAATAGTACCGCAAGTTGCGTGTATCTAGTTTTATACAAAACTCAGTAGAAAGTTCCAAGATGGCGTCCGATTCCTATTTGAATTAAGTGACGCGTACGAGTCAGGGAATTTAATTGCCACTTATTCTGTATATTTTCCTGATGTTAGTATAGGAACAATTGTTACCCTGAGAATTTCCCTATGCAAACGTTACGGACATATATAGACCCAAGTGCAGATAGGTTATGTTTACAAAATGCAAATCCACCCGCATGAAACAACGTTCGCCATTTTAACGTCGCTCTCACGAATGTCGATCTTCTCGTCGAAATAAATATTCCGATAGTAAGTATCGAAGTATACCTATATATACATATATATAATTATATTTATATTAAGAGTATACTTTGGGAACAATTTGAATTATGCAATGTACAGTTTGAGAGCAAGTCTATACTTACGGAATCGTCCTCAAACAATTTCCAGCGTAATGACTGTTTTGAGGACCATAAAGCAGACGGTCACACCAAATTTTTTTGACTTTTTCAATGTTAGACACTCAATATTTGTGGTGGTCTTAGAAATGTTCCGTTAGGTTAGATTAGCTCTGAACTCCAATGCTGTGATGTCCTAAGGTAGTGCTTTAAAAAAGCATTAGCTTGCTATTGTGAATGCTTCTAGAATTGTCGTGTCCTTAAATTATACCATTGACAAGATTATATATATATATAACTTTGGAGCCTAACTGTACTCGAACTTCCTCGAATTGTTGTGAGAAATTCAACTGCACCGTGAAGCTGGTTCCAAGGGACGCAGAGGCTGCCGGGAGTCTCGGTTTGCGGGAAGGACACAAATTGGCTGGTAAGAAACTATTTTGTCTAGGAAATCAATCGAACACACAGCTGCCAGCAGTGGGTGACTGAAAACGTTAACAGCTCGAAGAGCTGCTACTGAAAGAGTTTCTACTCGTATACCAGAGAAGAAGAGCTCTCGTGGTGAATTGCGTGGATGAAACGAAAAGGCGAGACAAAAAAG